CAAGCAAAGTTAACGACTGCATTCTGAGGTGAAGTCTGAAAGACGTTGCAGTTTTTATTTTTAAAACTCCGCACGATTGCTTCTTGATGATACCTACATATGTCGCGATATTAGCTGAGGAAGAAAACTCTTATTAAGACAGACTGCTTATTAATGCGCAAGAAGAACACGTGGGAAGCGCAATTTATCTCATTTTGCCAATGTCTTTTAGAGAGAAGCTTCGCTTTATGCGCGATAAAACTTGAAATAATCTTGGTGAAAAATGAAGACGCGAATGAAGATGAAGATGCGAGTTGAAAGATCGTTTATGTGCTTCGTATGATTACTGCTTGCCTGATATAAAAGCATAAAGTGAGGCCGTAGATTTTCTGTACGCGCGCGTCTATCTTCGGTCTTCACTTCGCTCGAACGTTACTTCCCATCATTGAGCGCGTCAAAGTTTTCCAACGATAACGTGCTTCTCTCTACGAGAATATTCCTCGTAAAAGTTCCTCCGTCTTTCCTCTCGGGTATCAGCTCGGGATGATCTCTCACACAGTTTCAAGAATCGACCCACGAGGCATAATGCTTACCGTTTGTGCACGATCATGCGAATACGCTCTTACGGTTAGATAAAAAGTAATTTTTAGCAGCAATCTCTAGCCGTATGCGAAGAAGGAAGAAAAACGACTTCGGCAAAGGCCATTCCGGGCCACTGATTTATAGAACTCGTTATAACGACGATACATCATTTTAATATTCGCCGTTGTGGGACAAGTCTCGCTGGAATAGTACGTTTACGGCATCTACCTGGATAATATCCTGGATGGATGGAGATGAGAGCCGAAAGGTCGTCCTTCCCCCTCGCTTGCCTGATTATTATTCCCGCGCTGTGATAGCGCCAAGAAGGGAAGGGCTCTCCTACGCCGCACCAGGTCGTTGCACCAGGACGAAGTCTTCCGCCACGGCGGAGAGAACGTACGAACGTAATCATATTTTTTTTTCTTTTTTCTTTTGCTCGTTCTGTTCTCGGTTTGTCCGCCTTCGCGTCCTCTGTAATATACCGAGATCTAGCTGTTAATTACTCGAAGGATTTATCGAGATCACCCGGTATGCGTCTCGATGCACGTTTCGCCAGATCGATCGATCGATCGATCGATCCTAGGTGGTTATCACTCGTCTTGATCGCTGAGAGAACAACCTTAGAAGTTGCTTGAGACGCAAACCTTCGGTTTTCTCATCCCGCTTCTCAGAATATCAAGGCGAGATAGAACTGAGGATCGTCGCATTTCTTTTAAAATAAACTTAATCTTCTAATAATAATAAAAAAATTTGTTCTAGGAATTTTATGTTCTAGATGTTTGAAACATGAATTTATTTATCATCTATTTCCCACGGAAGAGCCAAATAAATTCCGCGTCAATTTCACGGTTCATGCGATAAACCGTGAAATATCTATCGGAAAAGAGATCGATGCGTCAACGTCCGTGAAAATCTTCTTAAAGATTTCAATAGCGAGCGGCTTTAGCGCGATTTACGAAGCTTCATTATTTATGAATTCGTTGCTCCACGCCAGGTTTCGTCTCGCTTTTTCTTTTTCCTCATTCTCTGGCTCTCTTCCTTCTATTCTCGCGTTCCGGCCAACTCATTGTTTATGAATCCACGCTGACGCTACTGGTCTGGAGTCGTGAGGATAGTCGTAGTTCATCGAGTTTACATCGCAGTAATCCGACGTTGCGCGAAAATATTCAATAGTTTGAAAATTCCAAAGATAAATACCGAAAAATCATTCCCGGAAAACTACGAGTTTTCAATCGATTTATTTTCCATTAATTTATTTTGTCCATCCTTTTCTATTTTGAAATACGTACGCTTTACATTGATAATTTAAAAATTATTATATTATCTCGTGTGAAAGAAATCGTTCACTATTCACTATTTCACAAACATATTTTCAAAAAGCACTGAACTATCTGCTAATATAATGAATGGTAAAAAAAGAAAAAAAATATATATTTGATTAATGTTGTCCAGAATTTTTGCGAGTTTTAATATCTTGGAGTCGAATGGATAATATATATGCGGACGGGTTATTTATTTAATTATAGGCACAGCATATATCGCAATTTCCTTGGTACTTCATCGCTATTCACTGAGGCAAGCATCACATTTCTCGTGTATCATGCATGCATACGAAGGTCTGCTTTTCGCTTTCATGTAAATTCCAACCGTAAACAACAGTCGGATTCATCACGAAAGCGGATGTACGTAGTATCGTGACGGGAAGCGCTTCGCCGAGAGGGTGTGAAGCGACCCTAAACGAAGAAATGATGATTCTTTTCCTCGCGAAACGCCATGGCTGGCTCTTCCTATCGCAGCATCATATTCAGCAAGAGAGAAGAAGCGAGGTAGAAAGAATCGCGCGCGATGGCGTGCGCTTGGCAGAAATAACAATCCTTCCTTTCCGTAAAACTTTTCCCCTTTCCCTTTCGCCGGCGCCGGGGATGTAAGCGAGAGGAACAATTTTCTTCACCGTCTAATCAGTTCCACCTAGGTAACCATCGAGACTGATGCTCGCGAACGTTGAAAATCGGTGCACATCGGGGTTTGATATGTTCATCGAGATAATTGTACTTCGTTCGCAATGTTTACCGAGCAATTATTATCGGACTTTGATTTGTAAACGTGTACGGGAAATTATACGCGCGTAAAATACTGAAGAAATGCTCGTCTCTATTGCCATCTTCTACGAAAATGTAGGAAATAATGAGGGAAACAAATCGAGCGCCGCGTCTCTAGCATTAAAGGAAATTCTCTCTGGAGGAGCCATTAATTCGAATGGCATTGACGTCGCAAGGAGAGAATAAATCTACATGTTCCAATAGCCGAGCTGCGTCGAGTTCCAACCTTCCTGATGCATACGCAACAATACACGATTACGATCGCGATCGTACTTCTAAAAGCTGTTTATCTTGCGTTATCAATCGGTCACGATGGTTCTGGTAGGACTAGCCGTTTGTGAGAATACATAGCTACGAGCGACGCGAGTTATTCGAGAAGGATAATAAAATAGCATAGGTGAATTTCCACGTGTGCAGTTTGTCATGGTAATATATTCCTTTGCAACAGATGATGTACATGGAACGGATCCGCGAGAACCGTAAACGACCCCATAAACGCCCGATTCGTTCTCGAAAGGATCGCTTAACTCGTGACGCCGTAATTGAATCTTCATGGGCTCTCGAGAGCCTACCATAATTACGTAGCTGGGCTGTCATGAGACTTCCATGACGCTGCATTATCCGAAGATGACGATCATGAGTTGGTAATTAACCGTCTACGGGAATTTGCTGGATTCTAGTAAATGTTACGAACACGCGTTTTATTGTAATAATCATTATAAAATTACTTAATTGTCGTTAAGCGAACGTTACATAAATATCGGAATGATTTTTCAATAACATCTTCTTTTTTCCTCTTTTAATCTAAAGCAAACGAAAGTGTCACGCGACCGTCTCCTGATACAATCCATAAAAAAATACCATTTCCCTTCTTCGCTAGATTACCTTAACAACCTTCCGTAATTCGCCTAATTGCACCCCGCATCGTAACGACTCCCATCGACGTGGCGGGAAGGGTAATCAGGGCCTTCGTTATCGAGAAGCACATTTCTGGCAAAAAGGCGACTGAAATCCGGTAGGCGTGTGGTTCGCACAGACGCGTCGAGGATTACCGGAAGTGTCGATCCTCGCGTGGCGAACTCGCGCCTCGGGCGATCCCGCGGAAGATCAGCGGCGGCCTGCGAACCCGTCGACCAGGTTTCTTCGGTGAATATCGCGAGACGAGACCGGTTGTGACGTAAAGGTCAGGGACTCTCGTGCGTACGCGGGATGACTTTTCCCGCGCGTGCAACGGCCGGAGAGACGTGCACCATGAGCCCCGCACACGTGTACGATCTTCAAAGTCGTTCGGGCTACCGTACTGCATATCTCGATCGCTGCATCAATATGAATTGAAACACAATGGAAATATGTTCGTAGATAGTGATAGCGAAGAATTTATCATTAAGCATTTATATTTCAATTCGGATTGATATTTTTTTTCTATTCAGCAATAAAAAGAGGGAAAAAAATTAATTTAATATACGAAGATTATTACCGATTATTAACAAGTTTTTTATTTTAATTATTTAGTATCTTAATTTGCTTTTGCTTAATTATGTCTTGTGTATATGTTTGTATTTGTCATGCATATCATTTTATCGTACATGATATCCAATTACTCTTTTTGACGTATTAATATCTGTCATTGCCTTTGATAGGCATTATAATATTTGCAAAAAATATGCACAATATTGTGTATGAAAATATTTTTGCATATTTTAATATATTTTCTTTCTGAAATACAAGAGAGAGAGAGTAATAGTGGCGCGACAATAAAAATAAAAAAGATTCATAAATCTGGAATCACCGCGTCTCTCCGCTTTACTCGCAGGTATATAGAGGTGCCGTTAAACCCCCGGAAATCCGAGTTTCTCAGGTAACTCGTGACCTCGAAGAAGAAATCCGCGCTTCCTCCGCGCGCGTGTTTCTTTCACCTCGGTAGGTGCATTAATCTTCGTAACAGTGCATCAACCTGCCTACCGAGCGCGCCTAAGCGCATTCCTCATTGTTAGCGCGCGACTTTGCCACGACGTGCAACTCGTGGGTGCCGGGTCGCGAGGAGAGGCCACGGGGGCGCGGACGAAGAGGGGAGGATGAACCTTTGGCCTCGGTACAGGCCACGACGTGGCTCTCCTTCCCTCTGGCAATCTCCAATAGAGCGCTATTATACTTGGCGACCTCGAACTCCGCGAGACTACGTGGCTGGTCTTCTGGTATGATAATATCTGTATCCTTGTTATCGTAATGTGCCGATTCGCCGATCGAACATGCACGAGAGGAGGGAGGTAAGTTGGTCAACAAAGCCGACAACACGTTGTGAAATCCGATGGTGGGCAATTGTGCGCGGATTTACATAATAGCATGTAATTGGCTCAGATTTTGGTATATCTGGGAAATTAATTCGGTATCGAAAAAGGGATCTATGGTAAACTTTATTATGAAAAGATTGCCTAGTATCTTACCTACAGATAAACTATATTTCTTATTGTGAAATAGCAGATGCTTATAATAATCATTAAATAAAATTCTGTTTATTAGACATCTCTTAACATTTTTTAAATTTAGAGGATTTATAATTAATGTGAACATAATTTTATAAACACTCTATACGTTGGTCCTAGCATTTTTTTCCCATATGGAGAAATCAAGGATAATGAAAACGATTTCAGAAATTATCGATAGCATAACGAAATTAGCACAAACGTTATTGTTTACACTTGTGTGAGAAGAAGATTAATTGCAAAGTAACGGGAAGATGCACGATGCACGTGGTCTATTTTCGACGCTCACGTTCTCGGCGTTTGAATTAATTCTTACGCGACACTGCTATTATCCCGCGAGAGATGATAGATAAACGTATTAAGAGAGAAATGCACGAAGCGAGAAATGATCTTACGGAACTCTTGTGAGATGGTGAGATCGAGATGCGCGACATCGAGAAGCGAGGTAGAACGGGAGTAGTCCCCGACATACCAGCTGCGGCACAAGAAACGGAACAAAAATGACGACAGAAGGAAACTAGGAAGTGGTTTCGCGAAACGCGAGCAAAACACATGTGTGGGAAATTGACATCTCGCATGCTCCCGACCAGTTCGAGCGGGAATCGCAAGATGCTGCTTCCTCGATCAAACCTGATGGCAAGTTGGCCTTCTCGAACCTTTATGAATGTTAAATCCATTCATAAGACGTTTAATCGTGCACGATAAACTCTTCGCGGCGATGAGGCGTGTTTCCTGCAGGTCGATTAGCTCTATCGAGATCTCCGTCTGATCGAGAATTATGCCGGATTAACGCGTGTCCAATCGTTTGAAAGCGGAATTTCCGCGTGCAACTATATGCATTACTCGAGTACTGACTTGCATATTGCATCTCTTCATGGATACTGACGTTCTCTTCAAGAAACGTCATCTTGAAAACGTCTCTTCATTTCCTCCATATTCACTATTAAAGTAAGTTATCTAGCGTACGTGCACGCGGAAATCATTCTCTCTCGTCAGGCGTAGGTGGGAGTTAAGCCCGAGAAATAATTCTCAGTTCAGGTCTGATTCTAATTACGGCTCTGAGATTCCTTGTTCCTCTTGCAGATGGGCTCGTTTGGGATCGGAACGGTAGCAGCTACAACCGCGAGCCTGATATTCACGGTGCTGTTGGCAAGCGGCGACGCTGCGTTGGGTGAGTTTCTTTCAACATTGATCAAAGGCGACGACACATGAATTAGAAGCTTTTCAGTTCGTGTTCGGTAAAATCCTACGAGAAAATTTTTTCCGCATAAATGCAAAATTTTTTCCCTTCATGTTTCAGCGAGGACGGCGTTCGAGAAACTCACCGATTACGATTATCGCGGCACCAACTATTACAGCGTGAGGAATCTCTCGTTGTACGAGTGCCAGGGATGGTGCAGAGATGAGCCTGAATGTCAGGCCGCCGCGTTCTCGTTCGTCGTGAATCCGTTGGCGCCGATGCAGGACACTCTTTGCCAACTACAGAACGAAACCACCGCCACGAATCCGGCCGCCCAGCCCCAGAGAGCCGTCAATATGTATTACATGACGAAACTACAGATAAGATCCGGTGAGTTAGAACACCGGGGCACATTTACACGTGTGTGAAACATGTGTTTTGTATTCAAATGTAAATCTCTTTAGATTAGAATCCGCATCAATCTTGTCAAGGCTGATACTCTTGAAAGGCGCAGGGAAAAAAATAGCATATAGAGAAATGACTTGCGATGGAGAAAATCACACGGTTTTTTGCCACGTGTATGCAAAACAATAGGAAAAAGGGATCATGAAATGTGATAATCTGAATTTTAAACTTAAAGCGAGTTTGTCGGTAAACTTTAAAGGGGAACGCTAACTGGCGGGATTTCATTGAACGAGACAAAGGTCCGCGGCAAACAATACTAACTTGTATGCGGACAATGCAAGGGCTTAATAATGCGATTCGATTTGCTTGGAGGTACAGTAGAGCGCTTTCATCTGTACGGTTGAAGTTAAACATATTTACCACGTATGCATTTTATGAGAAATTTAAAATTACACATTATACGTAATATTTTAAAACGAGATGTGAATTAAATAAATTGCAGGATTTCTAATAATTACAATAATTAAGAATTATAAATATTTATGATAATATTAATGCTTTATAACGATAGAGAGAATATAATATATCATCGATAAACTGTTAAAATTGATTAATTTAAAAAAGACATTTTGTGAAAAAAGTGACAGTTTAAAACTAATTTTGTTCTAAAAAATAATCATTATAGCAATAATTATAAAATCAGGTTAAAGTTATATATTGATTCAGGCGATTTTCTTTCGCAAGGAAATATAAGGAAATATGAAAACACTTCTCGCACTTTGTCAGGTAGTAGTCGCCTTTGTCCGTTTCTCGCCCTTTGTATTCGCGCAAAATAGTTTTCACTTTTCACCGAAGAAAATCTAGTGAGAACGACTGGTTGGACAAACACATCTGCTGGTACCTGTGGGATCATGGTGAATGCGTTTAAAGAGAATGACCGTCATAAAAAACTTCCTGCAGGATGAGGCTGATTGTTCCAAAAGGCCAAGAAGGACTTTCTTGGATTTTAAAAAGGATTCTTTAATATCAGTTAACGAATCGTCCAATGTCTTTATCATCGTAGATGTCTTTAAATGTGCGCAAAACTGTCGCTAATCTCTGTGCAGTCGCAATTATCAAAGGACATGAATGAAAAGGAGGCTTTTTAAAGTTCTTGAAGGAAATGCCTGCTTTCGTGAAAAGATCAGCTTTATCGGGACCTTTCTGAGATTCAATGATCGCATCGAACGTTTGACGATCTCCGGAGAAAAGAGGAGGAAGCGGAAAAAGATTCCCGTTTCATTTCCATTCGGCTCCTAAAAAAAAATTTGTATTATGAATATAAGTAAAAACCGTTTTCTTTTTTGTGATAAAAGAAAATATTTTAATTTTTTTATAGAATTTTATATTTTATATATATTTTT